GTCAGGGAGGATCTGTTTTTGTTAAGTTAATCATGAATTGTAGTATTATTATTATTATTATTTATTTGACATTGACATATTGTTTAATGTTTGGTATGTAGTAAAAAAAAAAAAAAAAATCAAGCCTACCCTTTTGTGATGGAAACTTCAAAAAAAAAAAGAAAAAAAAAAAAAAAAAATCGTTTAAGCCAAGCACTTCCAACTCCCTCTCCCGTCTGAAATGAAGCATAGAACAAAATCCCATTTTAGAAAAATAAAATTAGGTATATGCACTGGCACTCAGCGACGTAAATTTTTTTTTCCCCAGCGAGAGCGGCATTTCAGAACTCTTCAGCGAATGAAGGTAATTCTGGTGACAAGTACGTGGTTTCGTCCGTTTACATTTTCCAATCGGACAGCTGTCTATTTTTTTACAGCAAGTTGCGTGACCGTGCTGCAAAAACAGGTGTACATACTTGTCGCCGAAATTACCTTTATTCGCAAGAGAGTTCTGAAATGCCGCTCTCGCTGGAAAAAAAATTTCTGTTGCTGAGTGCTAGTGCATAGCGCTCTTGTGAAAGCCCAAATGCGGGTAGCGGGTGGTTTTAGGACCCGCTATACGCTTTCCCTAACGTGTGTGGTCAAGATAGCAATTGTAGGGAAAGCGCATAAACACGCCCACGGGCACACCTCCAGGCGCAAATAAAGGATTCGGCATAATGCATAGCGGGTAGTGTGGCCGCAAGATATCGTTTAAGGAAAGTGGAAGCTGCTAAATGCGTAATTCACCGGTTGCGGGTAGTGGCAACGGGTAAGGCAGTGTGAAAGATAGAGCCCTAAGACTACCAGCCCATGCAGGGGAAAGCTAAGGTTAAAATAGAGAGGGGAATCATAATTAACCAAAGAGGAACAGGTAAGATAATTAACTGATGGTGCAGAGGGGAACATTGTACAATTGAATGAGGCCAGGTAGCCAGGATCTGGAATGCCAAAGGGGAGGGGCATTACACTTGATGGCAGCATGCATTTCCACAAAGAACTGCGTTTTTTTCTTTTTCCTTTAACACAGGTATCACTTTGAAGAAATTTGTGTGGCACATAGACGTTCTAAGTGGGCTCATCTAAGTGGGAAAATCTACATGACATTTGACTTGGGTTTACCTTTAAAAAAAGGAAGAATAATTTTCTTCAAGGATAGCAACCAAAAGACTTTTAATGGTGGTTATTTTAATCAATTTAAGAATGGAAAATGAAAGGTGTTTTATTTCTTGTTATAAACTTGTTTGAACTATGTGGGTGGCCAAAGCTTTGACTGGTAATAATTGGCACCCTTCATTTAGTACTTAGTGCAACCACCTCTGGCAAGGATAACAGCATGGAGTCTTTTCCTGAAATTTTTGACGAGGTTGAGGCACACATCTGGGGGGATTTTGGACCATTCCTCTAAGCAGATCCCTTCAAAATCCTTCATATTCTTGGGTTTGTCTTTATCAACTGCCCTCTTCCACTCAGCCCACAGATTTTCAGTTGGATTGGTGACTGAGATGACCATTTCGGAACATGGATTTTCTTGTTTCTGAACCATTTCTGTGTGGATATTGAGGTATGCTTTGGGTCATTGACCTGTTGGAAAGTCCACCTACGGCCAAATCCCAGCCTTCTGGCGGAGGCAACCAGATTGTCTGCCAAAATATCCTGATTCTTGGTGGAATTTTTTATGCCGTTAATCTTAACCAGTGTCCTTGGACCTCTTGAATTAAAACAGCCCCAAAACATGACTGACCCACCATCATTTCACCTTGAGTTTGAGGTGCTTTTCCATATATGCATCTCTGTTTCGATGGCAAACATGCCAATGTTGTGTCTGACTGATACGTGCAATTTTGGTCTTGTGAACAAAGCATTTGATTCCAGTAATAATTTAAATGACGTGTGGCAAACTCCCAGCACATCTTTCTGTGCCTTCTGGTCAGAAAAGGCTTTCTTCTGGCTACCCTTCCAAAGAGCCTGTGGTTGTGGAGATGGCGCGTGATGGTGTATTTTGGAACCTGGTGACCCCAAGATGCAACCAAGGCCTGCAATTACCTCACAGTGATTGTTGGGGATTTTGTGGCTTCGCTTACCATCCTCCTCAGTATCCAGGGGGACAAAATGCAGTTGTGTCATCTACCTTTGAGGTTTTCAACAGTTCCATATCTTTGAAATTTTTTAATAATTGCCCTGACAGTGCTAAGTCACATTTTCAATTGTTTGTGAATCTTCTTGTAACCATTACCAGATTTATGAAGGTCTATTACCATCTGCCTCTTTTGAACTGAGAGTTGTTTCGTTTTCTTCATGTTGTCAGATAACAAAAGGATATTGCATGCGTGTTACCTCATTTTTATACCCTAGTGAAACAGGAAGTGATGTAATGGCTCAGAATAGTTCCTTAACACTTAGATAAAACTTTTTTTTTTTTAAAGATTATTTTTTGGGATTTTCTCTTTTATTCGAAAGTCACACAGTGGGGACAGACAGGAGAGCCGGGAGAAGAATTCGGGAAGACGTGCAGCTAATGACCCACGCCAGAATCGAACCAGGTCACCGCAGGAAGGCCACAGCCCCCATGGTACGCACGCTTGGACCGATGTGCCACCGGAGCACCCCAACCCTTAGATAAAACTTAAATAGGAGGAATTTAATACCTGGTTTAATTTTGGTAGATGTTATTTACAGTACAATTTCCAATCTTTCAGGGCGCCATTAATTGTAAAATCCTGATATGGAGGAAACTGATTTTTAATTAAATCAGTAAGTGACTTTCACTGGTTCAACTGGAACATTAATATTTTTCATGTTGTTATTACGAGTTTCTCCAGAAATATATTTTTTTTTAGAAGTTTTTCAAGTATCTTTTGTGCATTGCCAGTCAGAAGTGCCAGCAAATTTGGAGCCCACTGTAGTGTGGTAAGGAGCACGCTGCACTAGCTGTAGGTGATGTTTCCATGTTGGCTCTATATGGACATTAGTAGGAATGCATTAGCTCACTCTCCAGCAGTGTGAACTAGCCATTACCTAATCCAGCCACTCAATATCTCTTTGTCCTCTGACAAAAGCCAAATGACTGCCCACTGGCAGAAATGCCAGAAAAAGTGCTGATGACTACTCAGAGATATTTCATTTATTCATTATTCTGAACGCCTTCGTTTGATATGATCCTGCAAAACGCCCACAATTCAGTGATATCACCAGGGAATAGGACGCAGACAGTGTATGGGACTATAAGAATGCTGGGATTTTCATCCGGCATGCAAGACTGTGAGAATCTCTCTCTCACGCAAGATTCATCATGAGCCTTTAATAATCTTGGCAGACTGGAATAGGACATGAAGGACAATAAAGGTTTCTATCCACTTAAATAAGCTAGCCATTCAGAGTGTGTGTGTCACTGAAGACCAAAGCACGTATCATGTCAGTTATGTGTTCTTTTAAAGACGGTTCACTTGTAATTATCTTCTAAGAATTTCCTTATTTTCATGGTATATTGAGAAGTGCTCAAACTACTTCTCCTTTGGACTTTATTGCCATTTTAATTTGTTTAGTTGGGAAAGGGCATTTATTGCAGTATTTGTCTTTCTGAGGGGAATGAATATGATATCTACACAGTCAGGTCCATAAATATTTGGACATTGAGAACATTATTGTTGCTGCATACACACCATATTAGAGATGAAACTAAATCATAAATGAGCATAAAGTGCAGACTTTGGGGCATGTACCTCCTAAATGAGTGATTGGTTTAGGAATCACAGAACTCAATTACGTTGCTTTCCCCTCTTTTAAGGTATTAAAAGTAATTGACATGTGGCCGCACTGCTGGTCCATGGCCAGGTATGAATTATTCCCCAATTATTTCATTTATAAGTACATACATTAAATTTATAGAGTATATTTATAGTTTGGTATGCATTTAGAATCTGTAAAGCTGTTAAATCTCAATATGGAACCCAAAGAGCTGTCACTGCCAGTGAAACAAGCAATCATATGGCTTTCAAATCAAAACAAAAGCTTCTGGGAAATGACTAAAGCATCAGGTCTGGCCAAATCAACCATTTTGTTCATTCCTAAAAATGAGGAACACGCTTGTGAGCTCAGCAATTCCAAACTGCCTTGTTTGATTTTGTCTGATTTTATTTTGTGAAGAACTTTTTAGCATTGTTTATTATTATTATTGATAATAATAATAATAATAATAATCATCATCATCATAATAATCATCATCATCATCATCAAAAATCATATTTTTTTTTTTTAAAAAAGGCCAGGAAGACCACAAAACAAGTGTGGTTAATGACAGCAGAATTCTTCTCCTGGTGCGGAAAAAAATCCTTTCAGAGCAATTGGTTAGATCAAGAACACTCACTAGGAGGTAAGTACATTTGTGCCAAAATGTGAAAAATGAAGTGAAGACGTCTTCTATGAGGAGAGGGTTTACCACAACATGTCATGTAGTGGAAGGTCTCTTTCCATTTATCAACCAAAAAACATCAGGAAAAAAAAAACCTGTACAGCTCTGAAACGACATCCTATGGTCGGATGGGACAAGATCAAAATACACCAGAATAAAGGGAAGAGTATGGAGAAAGGAGGAAACTGCACATGATTCGAGGGATACCACCTCATCTGTGAAGCATGGTAATGCATGGGTATGTATGGCAGCCAATTGAACCAGTTCAGTTGTATTCATTGAAGATGTGACTGCTGACAGAAGCAGTAGGATAAATTCTAAATATTAAGATATACTTTATTGAACCCCGTGGGGTAATTCATCCTCTGCATTTGACCCATCCTATAGTTAGGAGCAGTGGGCAGCCACAGAACAGCGCCTGGGGACCAACTCCAGTACTAAAGCCAGTACCTTGGTCAGTGGTACTGCTAGGAGCATTCCTATAATGCATGTTTTTGTGGGTGGGGGAAACTGGACTACCCAGAGGAAACCCACGCGAACACGGGGAGGACATGCAAACTTCACACAGAGAGGCCCCAGGCCGGATTCGAACCCACGACCTCCTTGCTGTGAGGCAGTAACCACTAACCATTGTGCCACCGTGCCGCCCCTATATGGCCATATTTTCCACTCAGATTGAGTTAAATCCAGTTACACCATGGTCTGGGTGAATACTTTTTTTATTGGCTGGCAGGTATGCATTAAAACCGTGGAACCGCACAGGTAGTTCGGCTACGGTAGTTTCACCGTTCGAAATTCATCCTCTAGCCAACCTGTGACCATAGCAGCGTTAGAGCTGGTATTTAGCCGGGTATAACAGAAACCTAACTACTCATTTATCTCCAGTAAATTTGGCGGCGTCATATAAGTTGCGTCCTGCGGGGCGGTTAACAATAGGTACTCAAGCGATAATGACCGTAGATATTATAGCAGCAAAATAATCAGGCTTTATTCATTAAACGATTGAAATTGTGTACGGTTACAAAGGAAGCTAACATGTTCACTTCATGTATAAGCAACTGCTGACAGTTTGCTAGCTACGTGCTATGCCAACAGACTGATTTCAGCTCGATGGCTCTGCGGAAACAGTCATAAGTTCATTGTAATTGTGGGTAGCAAGTTAGCAACAGTCTGCATAATCGCGCATAATGTTGCATACATGCCAACTCTACCGCTTTTGGCGGTAGACTACCGCTTTTGGGGCGTTTTTTTCAGAATGAAACGCCCCAAAGCAGTAGTCTACCGCCAAAAGCGGTAGAGTTGGCATGTATGATTGTGTTATGCATAATCTCCGTTTCAGCTGGAATGCGTTACCAAATCATCAGCAGGTAAACGGATGTAAGCCTGCACAAAAAATTCTTTCTCCATGAACGTAAGATGAATTAAGATAGCTGGTTCAATTTAGCTTGGCCTATAGTATAGTATTGGGTATAAGACGGCGCGGCGCCTGTTTAGGCCTAATGATTACCAGCTTGTTTTTTTAGTGCAAAACTGTCACCAAAAATGTCTGAATGTTGTGATTTGAATTTCCTGGCAAATGACCATGGTACAAGCGGGATAATCAACGAGTAGGTGCACATTACACGTTTTTAAGGCACTTTGCAGAGGCGCGTCGTGCCTTAAAACCGTGTAATGCGCACCTACTTGTTGATTATCCCTTACTTAAATACTTCAAAATTCATTCCATGGTGCTTCACAGTGCAGATGGTCAATGACTCAAAACACAGTGCAAAACCAACCCAACAATTTTTACGGCAACACAGTGGAATGTTCTATAATGGCCAAGTCAATTACCTGTCCTGAATCCAAAGGAGCGTGCTTTTCACTTGCTGATGGCAGAATGCCCCAAGAACAAGCAGGAACCGAAGACAGCTGCAGTGCGGGCCTGGCAGAGCATCTTCAGGGAAGAAACCCAGTATTTCATGATGTCAATAGGTTCCAGACTTCAGGCAGTCATTGAATGCAAATGATTTACAACCAAGTATAAAAAAATGAAAATTTAAGTGAGTTTGTCCTACTACTTTTGAGCTTCTGAAACGAAGGAGGACTATGTATAAAAATTGTTGTTAATTCCAGCCTGGTACATTTAACAACCCTTGTGTAAATTCCTTGTGTGTGTCTTCGCAATTCAGAAACTTGCATGTCTATTAAGTGTGTGTGTGCTGTAATCAGTTTACGTCCTGTGCGTCTCTCCTCCTCGGGTGAATCTCGTTAAGCAATTGTGCACTTTACGACGGCATGAACAGTATTTAAGCCCTCTGGTTCATGTGCAAGTTGCTGGATTGTAAACTTGCTTTTATGCAAGTAATCCTTGTCAATGTTGAGTTCTAAAATGTTTTCATCTTTATTTCATGCAAGAAGTACTTTAGTGACAGCCTTTCCTCATGAAGTCATTCCAATCATTTAGTTAATTCAAACAAGCTTCCAATCCCAATCAGGGTCCAGGACTGGGACTGAGTTCAAGTTAACTCAACTAAAGTCTGTTCCTGTTCATCAACTCAAGTCATCAAGAACAAGCTTTAAATCTTCATCAGGCTTCACGACTAGGACTGCGTTCTTACTAACCCATCCAGTTTTCCCTCCGTGTCCAGTTTATTAAGAACAAGCTTCCAATCCTGAACTGGACCCAGGACTGGGACCGAGTTCCCCTCAAGCAACCTCTCCATCCTCTGAAGCAGTTTAGTGCTGGCAGAGCCAGTGTAACACCTGGCAGCATTCCATAAGCCTGACCGGAGATTGCAGCTTAAGCTTAGCCTATTGCAACTATGCTGAACTATCCTCCCTGGGGGTTCCATCCCCGATATTCTATCCTGGGGTTGCATCCCCAATTCCTACCGTATTGCTGTCAACATACTAACAGCTGGATTGAGCTTCTGACTCTGCGCTTGATTCCTGGTCTGGACTGTAACAAGTAAAAAAAAAAAAAAAAAAAATTTTTTGGAAAAATGCTCAAATCCACAAATACCATCCACAAATACCATGCGCTTCCAGGTTTTTATGGATTTACCCTTTGAAAAATGTCACTTCTGTCAAAACCCAGGTAAAAAATACCTCAGCTTCTAGAGAGTGAACTCAATGAAATTTAAACAAGAATGGTGTATGTACGGATGCAATAATGGTAGAGACATTGACAACCTGCGATTTAAGAAAGATTTTGAAACCGAGAGGAGTACCATGGCTTGTGCTGATTGGACTAATCACTTTATGACCCCTGTTGAAACTTCAGACATCATAGACATGGCGAATCGATCTGTGCTGGCTATCGAGGTGTGCTACTAAAGTTCAAGCATACACAGACCAACAATCTTGGGACTGTTTCCACACTCAAATATTAATTATCTTTAAAATTAGATTTTTTCACATTGCCCCTTTCGACATGTAAGCATATAAATACCCTGACTTTGCTGGAAAATGTAACTGTTAAAATTGGACAATCATGGCATGCAGCATGTTACCTTTAAACAAACTTAGCTAGCTTGTTATATGTGCGTATGTTGTAACAAGCTAAAAAAATATCAAAGTTGCTAGTGTGGTCTGATTCATATTTTAATAAAGGAGAAAACAAAGACTCTGTGGTCGTTTTGTGTAGCGGTAGTATTTTCTGACAAGGCAGCATAATTTTTCAGAATACCAGCCAGCATGGGGCGTCAAATCTGTACCGGCATGCATACAGAAAAATACCATGACGCCACCTGGCGTGAATAAGCGCAGTATTTGTGGATGGGTCAATTAATCCGGAAAGTTTACCCTTCAAGCACATCTCGATTGATTGATTAATTAATTTCATATCCACTGTGGGGGCACACATCCAAAATTATATAAATTATGTCATTTCCCAAATACTTCTGTGCCTGACTGCATCTCAGACTCACAAGCATCTTGTTACATCTTTACCATTGTAAACACGAGTCTTATTAGGCCCAAACAATCAGTAATTCCAGACTAGATTTGCTACGCTTCAGACTCATTTCCTGATTTTGTGCCGTTATCTACCATACAGAGCTGTGAAAAAGTATTTGCTACCATCCCGATTCCTTTAATTTTTTTTACATATTTGGCTAATTTCAATGTTTCAGAACATCAAACTAATTAGTCAAAGACATCCCACTTCTTGGTTATTCTTTGATTATTTAATTCATTAGAAGATAAAAGCTATCCAACCCAACCTGGCCTGCAAAATCTGAAAAAGTAATTGCCCCCTTAGTTGCAAAGTGAAATTGATAATTGGGTTCAATTTCGCAAGACACACCCAGGCACGATGTGACACCCGGGCATGCTAGACATGAACAGCCAGCACTGTTGAATATAAACATCACTTAAATGAAAACTGTTTGGCAGTGTGAAGTAGACAAAAAGCAGCACATGATGTCATAACATAAAGACACTGATCAGATCAGAAACAAAGATGTTAACATCTATCTGTCTGGAGAGCGTAACAGTCATTTTGAAGGTTCTGGGACTCTAGCTAATCACAGAAGCAACCATTATCTACAAATGAAAAAAAAAAAAAAAAAAAAAAAAACTTGAAACGATGATAAATCTTCCCAGGAAAAGCAGGCCTATCGACATCCCTTCAAGAGCGCATCAACAATTCAATTATTGTTACAAAAGAACCAAGACTAACATCTAAAAGTACCTCAGGCCTCACTTGCCTCAGTTAAGGTCTGTGTTCACAATCCCACATCAAGAAAAAGACTTGGCAAAAATGACATCCATGGGAGAGCTGAAAAAACTACATCATAATAAAAAAAGGCTTGTCTTACATTTGTCAAAAAAAAAAAAGTCTTGATGACGCCCGAGACTTTTGGGATAATATTCTGTAGACTGATGAGTCAAAAGAGAACATTTTTTTGTAAGACACGGTTCCTGTTACATCTAGCATAAAGCCAAAGCAACACTCCACAGTTAGATCACCATACCAGCAGTCAAACCGTGGTTGTAGTAATGGTCTGGCGCTGCTTTCCTACTTCAGGATCTGGGTGACATGCCGTAATTGATGGAACCATGAATTCTGCTCTCTCCCAGAAAATCCTGAAGAGGAACGTTTGGCCATCAGTGACCTAAAGCTGAAGCGCGGTTGGGCCATGCAGCAGGACAATGATATGAAGCACACATGCAAATTCACCTCTGACTGGCTTTGGAGTGGCCAGTCAAAGTCCTGACTTGATTCCAATTGAGAAGCTATGACAAATTCTTGAAAAGGCAGCTCATGCTTAAAAATCCTCCAATGTGGCTGAATTAAAAATTTTGCTAAGCGGAGTGGGCCAAAATTCCTCCACAGCAATGAAAAGAAACTTGCTGCCGGTTATTGCAAACATTAGGTAGTAGTTATTGCCACCAAGGGTGCCACGACCAGTTATTAGGTTTACGGAGGAAAGCATATTTTCACAAGTGATAAAGGTTTTAAATAACTCTTCCTATAAAAAAAATGATCATTTAAAAACTGCATTTTTTTATTCTTTTTTGTGTACCCAACTGCATTTGTTTGTCTCAGTCTAAAATAAAAATTAGTTGGATGACCTGAAACATTTAAATATGACAAGTAAACAAAAATAGAAGAAATTGGGAAGAGGGAAAATCTTTCTTTCAGGGCACTGTCTCTGAAC